ATAAAAAAGGTTATGTGAAATATGCATAAAAATATAAATCTTATAAATATACAATGTGGATTAAATCACTGTGAAGCTTAAGATAAATTTCAATCAATTAAAAAAATTAAGTACCATTTAGCCTTTAAAAAGCCTTTAAGATGAAGTATCCCAAGATACGTAATCGTTTATACAACTTACCTGATTGAATTGTCTTTTTAACAGACACATCAAATAATCAATACATATCATGAGATGATTGGAAGAAAGAACCATATATGCATTCCAAGTAGGACTAATTAACATGTGGTCCTTGCTGTTGACAGATTTAACTTTTACGAATAGTTTTCAATGATTTATTTATACAAACCACAAAATAATGAAAGGTAAGGTGATAATATCACTGTTTACTGGAATCATTGTATATTAATTAACTCATTTAGAAAATTCAATGGATGAACTATTAAAAACATCAGGTACATTCAATATACATTTTGAAACGTGTATGCGGAGAAGGGAACAGAGTTTAGTGAGAAAAAAAAACTTATCAACTGCAGTTCTTAAAATAAATCTGCAGATCTTTTAAGCGGACAACCGATCTCTGTTGTTGACGTTTGTTACGATTTATTCTTTTCTTCAGTGAAATCTACTTGTTCGTATCTTATGGGTAATAATAACCATGATCTCGACAGACGGCCATTTTGTAATATTTGCATTACCAATGTTATCATCACTTCTACCACATGATACGGATATAAAAATTTACAAAGTTACCTAAGTACAAATCCTCTTCTAAATCTAAGAAATTCACTAGCAATGTCTATATAAACAACGTTATATTGCTGTGTAAACCAAATAGTCCACGAAACCATTTTTCAAATTAATAAATTTAATCTATCAGCTATTAAAATAGACTAAATATATTTTGTAAAAATATCGACTACTTCTATATATTAGAAAAAAATTAGATAAGGATAAATAAACATCTGCCCTTTATCGAAGTATTCAATATTCTAAATCCTGACTAAAAAAACAGTCAAAGCTTCTTTCATGAAAAAAAAGCAACGTAAATTCTACCACTGTATCGAGTGTGATACGATATTATCTCGAGACAGTTTAGTGGTGGAATCTGTTTCTAAAATGATTTTTAAGCCATATGCAGACAAATTCAATCCTTTCATTTGACTAATCTGCAAAAAATTGTGTTCTTTTGGAATGAGGTCATCAGGCATGGTTGCCTTTTTGCATGACGTCACAATAAAAAATTCAGAGGAAAGCAAGAAAATGTGACGTCATAATCAAATTTTGACCAATGAATAACTAAGATCAAACGAACAACATGTTGATTAAATAAAAATAATCAACAGGTCAAAAAAACGACAAATCGTGTAAGAATTAGAGAAGCACAAATATCTTGTTACTTACACGTTTTTGGTTATCAGTAAAGTTATATGACTGAAACCACCACCTTAATAATATTACAGGCTTTTTGATGTGGTAACTGCATGATTTCAAATACCCCTTTTCATTGATCACATTTGTTGTTAAAGTTTAAAATCTTTTCCGAGTGATTCATTTTGCCCTTGTGTTACCTGTGTTGTGATTAATGATGAAAATAGTCAGTCCATTGAGATCTGCCTTACACTGGTGAGGAACTCTCAAAAGACAAGAGGAGAGGACTTAGAGGTTGACCTGGCTTACAGACAAAGCCACTACGATGGTCAGTCGTACGTCTAGAAAATGACTGTTCGTACTCGCAAGCATCCTGTTTGCCACATTTACACTGTAGTAGAAACACTATTTTTGTTGTCTTGCAAGAATCAGTTCAAAATATGGTGTTTGTTGTCCCATTGACGATAATGACACTATTCATTTCCGCAGTGATTAACTAGGTTTATATTCATCGGGAACGCTCAAACAAAAAAGATTAACAAGCCAAGGATAAATAAGACCTGAGTCTGACCTGCATGACCAAATGAGACCTAAGAATAGCAAAATTCTTCTGAAATCAACTTTGACTATTTGTATTTGTTTTGATAATTTCATAATTATGTGAGAGTGACGGCTTACAGTCTGGGTATACAGTGTCTCTTGCAAGTTTGACATTGTTTATTTCCCCAATCCGTTCAGGAACCTCTTGAAAAAAAACCTGACTGAGAGAACAAATAAGGCCTAGCTAACAAGTCTTGAATGGTTTTGGGGCTACGGAAAACCAGTTGACTCGAAGAAGACATTTGAATTTTGGATGTTTTCTTTATTTATTTTCTATCTTTGCAGATAAGGTACGTATATATACGTGTAAAATATCATTGCAGCTGCTGTTGTAGCACGAAAATCTCTTTCGATGCCTTTTAATTTGTAGACCAGGTTTGTTAAGAAGCTTTAGGGTTCTTATAATCGCTTTGTGACAGTATCATTGTTGGAACAAAGCCGTCCAAATCTAATGGCCTGTAGAAAATGTTTTTGAAAGCTTTCGATGTCTGTCTGTCTTTGGGTTGCAATACAGATTTGCCAATATGATTCCATCAAATACTTGTTTACTAGTGTCACGGATTGTGACCAAAGAGATAGATGGTAGTTTGTAATTTTTTTAAAGGAAAGGCGTTGTTGGCATGCTGATGAACTCATTAAATTCATGTTCAGTATTATTCCCACTTCATTTTAATGTCGTAACGGAATCGGAACCTCGAGGGGTATTAATAATTGGCTGTTCTAATTTGACTTATAAAATATTGACTACAACGAGGAGCACCAACTTTAGAGTTGCAGTGGAACTTTAGAACAAAAACATGGCTGCCATTATCAGGAAAACCTAAAAAATGTGAAAAAAAATTTTGGGGTTTGATGAATTAGTATGCTTAAACCTAAAATCATTAATTTTAATACAATTAAGTGACAACTATATACAGATTTTGGAAGATTTTGTCACTCATTAGAACTACCATGATTAAATATGTTAGCGTTTGTGTTTGTAACAATTCAGTGTTTCTGTTATTCCGTTGTTTCCCTCTTATAATTGATGTGTATTCTTCGGTTTTGGTTTATGGCCCAGATTTTTTTTTTTTTGGCTTAATCGATTGATGCCTATTGAACAGCAGTATACAACTGTTGCTTTTTTAGAGGAATTTGAATTTTTTAAAACTTTTTCTGTAGTTTCCATTGCATCAAGCTCAAAGCTTGATTAAACTTCACTTCTAAGTTAACTGGCATGTATGGATGATTGGGGATTTGGCTTTGGAATTTACAAAATGGCTGCCGTTACCATGGAAACAATGAAAAAAGGTCAAAATGCTCTAAACACCTTCCTAAAAACCTTAAAGTAGCATTTCCTATCTTACAGTGGTAGATCAAATCCATTGTTCCCTTTGATGTATCAAAGTGGCATCTGTCATTAAAATTTTGGAATTGGTCACCGTTACCATGGAAACTGCAAAAACGGCCAAAATTTCAAAAAATGCTCCAAACTTAATATAAATGTTACGTAGTAAGTATTTTGACTTTGGAATTTCCAAAATTGCCACCGTAGGCATTGAAACAGCAGAAAAGTGTAAAATTTTCAAAATGTTCCAAATGTTCTGAAAATTTACAGACAGAAATAAAGTCATGCATACATGTTCATATTATGTTTGAAATTTTCTAAATTAGGGTAGGGTGACATCCGCTACTGCTTGCAATCGTAATATTCTGCTTGTTCAAATTAATGTTCCATTTATAAAGAGATAGTGTTCACCAATGAATGTAAAATTATTGCATTTCAATAGCAAGGTTAAATGCTTGACTAAACATTCAGTTGGTAGGTGTAATGTGCTGTTTGTGTTAAAATTCCTTATTAACAGGATTAACCATCTTCATGTGGTGTGCTGGATGTAACGTCGAGCGAAGGTAGGGATTGCTTGACGTGTGAGAGGTAAGGATCGTATCGTTACCCCCAAGCATAGATATCAATAGCTGTATTAGGCAAAACCTTTTGGAACTTTTGGCCCTCAAAGCTCTTCAACTTCGTTCTTTTTTGCCGTTTATGGTTCGAGCCTTACTCATGTTACTAATGAATCATTTGTAGACTGGCGCATAAGTTATAAGTCTGGTTCTTTGCTGAGATTTTTTACAATCACTAGGTCGATGACGATGGTGGAGACACTTCTCGATATTTACAGTAAAACAGTTAACATATCAATTGAACATGTTATTATTTGTATTTATAACATGTTACAATGCAGGACATGTATCTTAACACGTGTTTATGAGTTTACGAGAAGGGTCAAAACTTCACTGTAGACTCTAGAATAAAGAATAGAAACGTGAAATGTGTAAAGAAACAACAACCAGCAGGACAGAAAACAACACAAGGCCACCAATGTTTCTTCAACGCAGCGGACAAAATTCCGCACCCAGAGACAGGCTTCAGCTTACACCTATACAATAATGTAAAACTGTATACTGGTTCAGCTAAAAAGACTAGTATATGAGGATATTCAAAAGTGTTGCCTTATACTCTAATAGTCTTAAAATCTAAGTTCTTTGTGTTAGGGTTAACAATAAAGAGACACAATATATTACAAAATGATTCATGATCGCATATAAATTTCAAACATTAATACTTTAAGTCTTTGATTTTAGTCCATCTTTTTGGCACTCATCATTCATTCTAAAATTACCTGTGAATGTTCATATTGAAATACACCTCAAACAACGCCTCAAACAAAATTTACTTTTCTACAATTATATTTATGGGTGTTTACCAAGATTTATAGGTTAACAAAACTTACGCAAATAAATTTGGATTCGTTGTCGGACCAATTGTTTATTCCTTTAAAGTGTTAGTACTTGTTGATTCCTTTTTAACGTTTGTTGTTTTTTGTTTGTTTTTTGGGGGGGAATTTTTCTTGTTTCTTTTTAGAGGGAGGGGTTTCTACATGTACATGTTACCGTAAAAAAATCCACGAAATACAGATGAATGAAATTGTAAAGCTTATTTCAAAGGAACAATATCATTAGAATACGCAGGATCTTATAAGACTTACCTTCCACTGGTTCTAATCCATGTCCTGTAAAAGTGAAATACAAGCATACATATTTTTGTGCAATTCTGACTAGGAATAAGATATTACAACAACCAAAAATTATCCATGCTCTTTTCTTGTTCTCGTGAATCGATCATATGAACATTGTCGACTAATTCCGTTCAATGAATATGGTAATTCCAGTTTATTTATGAGATCTTGAACAATTTTAAAGAAAAAGACAGCAACAACTTGCATTGCATTAGCTTTAAAGGTGTTTTTTTTATGTTTTATCTCAGTTCATACTATTTTTTTTTCAATCTGCATAGTTTTTTATTTAACGTGAATCAGTTATCTTTTAATCATCATACTTACTGACACAGTTAAGTCCAACATCACTGTGATAGTCACAATTTGTTTTAAACCATTCACTTGAGGGACAGGTACCAATATCATCCTCATTGCCAGTGCATCGTATATTATTTAGCATTATGTGTCCACCATTGCCGCTTGAAAGACGTTTTCGGTTAAATAGACCTATTACTCTGAAAGAAGTATTATTAAATCTCTTAGACACTCACAAGTTCCTACAACCTTTTTTTTCTTTATTTGACTTGCAAGTAAATAAGAATGGGTTAGTGCTTATCTAACTTGATGTGACGGAGTCAAAACTTAGAGACTGTTTGGTTAATTAAGAATCAGAAGATACACAAGTTTCGCAATATTAAAATTACTTTGTTTATTGGAAAACCAAAGTGCCTGGAATGTGGTAACTTTTAATCAACACCATTGTTCTATATAAATAATATATAAAGTTGAACTCCATAAAGGGGTGCAATTTAAAGGTTCTGATCTTTAATATTTTTGCATGCAAAAAACACCAAAGCTACTTATATTGTATTGTAACGGATTCGTCCTCATTGTTTGGCAGTATGTGTCCCCTCCCCCTTTTCAACAGTTCCACCTCCGTGTAACAGCATTGGATACTAATAAATTGTTAATTATGTTTTCTTTTATTAAAATAAGTTATCTTAGATATTTAGTACTTAAACACATTTTTTATAGACAGTAACTTGAGCAAAGATAAAAATAACGTTAGGTCCCATCTGAAACTGAGTCGCTTTTCCATTTATTTTTGTATAGTGTAAATACGGGATTTCCTTATTCTTAACCTACCTTTATATACGTGTTGATGATTGTATTATGTTGTGTTAATCTCTATATATAATTATAGTCAGTGGATTAGTTAACCTGGTCAAGTTTCTAGAGACTCAGAGTCTCTCTTTTTCTGTGTAATGTTCGCCATGTTTACGTGAGTCGCTTACCATAAACCAGTCTAAGTGCACTGTCGTGAACGGCGATATTACATCGAAATAGAGTCTTTTGATTCGCTTTTGACGTCAAATGAAGTCTTTCGAGTCTCTTTCATTGTATATATATATATATATATATATATATATTGGACTGCTATTGAAAGCGTTAATCGTAATCGGACTTCCGTGGCAAAAAGTTGCTTACAATCACAAGCCTAAATATTAAAATCCTTTCGTCACTGTAGCTAACAATTTAAGCTTGCACTTTAAAAGGTTAGGAAATATTTTTGTCAGAGTTTTACTTTATATAAAACATAGATTTATAAGTTTCATATTATAAAAGACTCTAAAGATTAGACGAACAAATTTTCTGCTGAAAAGTACACAAAAAGTCGGAAAGATAAGATATTTCATATTTTATACACTAACTCAACGACGCAGACTCGAGTCTTAAAGTCGCTATTCAAATAAGACATCAACATAGTTTTTCTTCAAAGAAAGTTACAGTTAAAGTGATTCTTATATTATTTACTTGAAATACCAATAGTATAGAAATTATTATTATTAATTTCCAACTATTCTTTACATATTACGAAGTCGAATCTTCACAAAAGTACAGTAAAATCAGGAGTCGCAACTTATACATAAGTCGACATAGCTGATATAATACTTCATTAAATCATTAACTTTATACGAATTGATTATTTTTGTCTACTGAAACAACGCATCTTTAATCATATCACTTGGAGTACGGGGTTGAGTTGACTCAAGGGAGCAGTCATTGGAAAGAGTAATTGCGGATTATAAGTTTGTCTGACAAATAGTATAGTTTTTGCCAGTGGGTCATATTTTCACTTCAGGGTAACGAAAACGCTATAGCAACACAGAGCGAAAACGTTGCAGTATGATATTATATTTTGATTCATTTGTAATATTTTTCAAAGATATATGTAGGACTGAAATAAAATGTTTGATCATTTATCTTTACATTGCACTGAACAATATTTTGGTTTTTTTTCAGTTTAATTTATCAGTCAAACCAAATCAACTAATCAATCCACGAACAAGTTATTCTTAAAATACGATCATGTAAGGCAAGCGTTGAAATTCACGAATTACATTATTTCTGAACTGATTTAAATGGTTTGGACTCACTGAAAAACTAATTTATATTTCTATCTTTATAAATGTAAGTGTTTTGTGTACAATTTGTAATTTTATATGACCATTATAAGAATCTGTGGACATGTAATCTTGTATATGCAAAACAAAATGTAGATAGAATCTCCAATTAGTATGGTGTGTTAATGAGACAGTTCTCCATGTTAGTATAAGGTGTATTATTCTGGCAGTTAAACATCAAGCTGCTCAATTTAAAAAAAAAAACAAACCTGTACCACTTGGTCAACATGGGTGGGTATCAAACTAAATAAATGATAACTTGTACAAAACGTCTGCACAAATTATAATTTGTACAAGAATGTACAAAACGTCTTCACAAATTACAATTTTTATAATATTGTACAAAACGTCTACACAAATTATAATTTGTATAAGATTGTACAAAACGTCTGCACAATTTATAATTTGCATAGTATAAGATTGTACAAAACAGGCGCTTCTGCTAATTCAATAAGACTTCCTCATAACTCTTTACAGAATACACATGATATAAGAGAAAGAAGAAACGTATATTGTCCCTTTAAATGTTATAAATTTGTCAAACTCCTAAACTAAACGAAATTTGTCTTTTATTTGTATTGTATAATCCATCCTGACATAAAAATATAACTGATTTACTATGTAACTATAAGATTTACATAATATAGTGCAAATATGGTCAGTTTTGGTTGATGCGGACAAATAATTATGTTATACGAGTCAGTCTGAGATATCAAAAATACTGAAATTTGTTTACGATGCAATATTTTGAATAAAAAGAGGACATGCTAGCACTCTAAACTGATGCGTACAAAATTTTGTAGTCATTGTGTTCCAATATTGCTGTCATTTGTATTATACAATCAATCCTGACATAAAAATATAACTGATTTACTATGAGGCTATATAGATTTTCATAATAAGGTGCAAAGGTGGTCGCTTTTGGTTAATGTGGTCAAATAATTCTGTTATACGAGTCAGCCTGAGGTATCAAAACTACTGACATTTTTTTACGATTTAATATTTTGAATAAAAAGAGGACATGCTGGCACTCTAAGTTGATGCGGACAAAATTTTGTAGTCATTGTGTTCAAATATTGCTGTCATTTGTATTATACAATCAATCCTGACATAAAAATATTACTGCTTTACTATGCGGCTATACAGATTTACTTATTAAAGTGCAAATATGGTCAGTTTTGGTTGATGCAGACAAATAATTCTGTTATACGAGTCAGCCTGAGGTATCAAAACTACTGAAATTTGTTTCCGATCCAATATTTTGAATAAAAAGAGGACATGCTGGCACTCTAATTTGATGCGAAAAATTTGGTAGTCATTGTGTTCCAATATTGCTGTCATTTTTATTATACAATCCATCCTGACATAGAAATATTACTGATTTACTATGAGGCTATATAAAGTTACAACATAAAGTGCAAACATGGTCAGTTTTGGTTGATGCAGTCAAATAATTTTGTTATACGAGTCAGCTTGAGGGATCAAAACTACTGAAATTTTTTTAACGATTCAATATTTTGAATAAAAAGAGGACGTGCTGACACTCTCAATTGATGCGGACAAAATTTTGTAGTCATTGTACTCCAATATTGCTGTCATTTGTAATATAAAATCCATCCTGCCATAAAAATATTACTGATTTACTATGCGACTATATAGATTTACATAGTAAAGTGCAAATATGGTCAGTTTTGGTTGATGCATCAAATAATTTTGTTATGTTTGAGCCAGTCTGAGATGTGAAAACTGCTGGATTTTGGTGATGATTTAATTATTGAAATAAAAGGAGGACATGCTTGAACTGTTTATTTAAATTGTGCGGAAAAAGAAATATACTATGATTAATTTTCAATTAATTAAAGAGGTGTCATATCATTAACTGTAAGCGTCAATATGTCAATATTGTTTAAATATAAATCACTGGAGGCTTAAAAGCAGGTTTACCCACTAGTTTCTTCGGAAAATACCTGTTCCAAGTCAATATCATGACGGTTGTTTCCGGGCCAAAAATGAATTAAATACACAAGACAAATAATCTTCTTTATTATATCAAGTTTACCGAGTTAAAGTCCAATCCTAGAACACTGAATACTAGAATTACATATAACAAGTGATGCTGAAATTTATCAAACCATCTCCAACGCGACATTAATCCAAAACTAAGTCACCTACGTCTGTACATGTGACCTTCCTGTAAACAAAACTGTATATATTCCAAGCGTGCCTATGACGTCATTCAATAGTTTCCTCGGAGTTTAGTATTTTTGTGATTTTACTATTTTACTTGATTTTCGGTGCTTTCAATTATCAATGTATATTTTTCCTTTAGATAGGGACTCAAAAGAGGCCAAAAAGAATTCATGTAGCCAAGATTGTTAACTTTCTCCGATGGAATTAGTTAACTTTTATTAACACAGAATTTGTGAGAAAAAAAATTATTACACCAATGTTAGTGTTGGAGCATTAGTTATCGGTTCAAAGATATCGTTATGAAACTAACAATCCATCAGTTATGATAGTGCAAATACCACATGTACAGGGTATAAAGATTCTTTGAGACTAAAATCAGAAACAAATACTTTTTCTCGCATATTTTGTATTGCCTGAAATTGGTTATTTTTCAGGTTGAATCCTCAAAATAATCGCCTTTTTCAAATATCTGTGAATTGATTTTCCTTTAATTTAACACAGAATATGTTCTCCCCATGTATTTCTATATAAGAACACAATAAAATAGAATTACGAATTGTAAGTACGGATTTTTTCTCGAAAATAAGTACTTTTTTTAGTACCTTCACCGAATCATTTTAATTCAAAGAGGTAGCTCCTATTGTCCGTGGTTATTTTTACATTAGGGACGTTTAAACAGTCTTTTCTGAAAAGAGAATTACTGCTCTGGGTATATCTTTCACGGTGTCATTTTGTAAAAAAAATATTGTCTTTTCATAATTGACTCACTCCATTCCTTTAATACTACTGAAAACATATCAGATATTTCAAGTACCTCTGATATCCTAACATATGACAAACAACTTTGGCGTCATTTAATCTAAATTCACGATTACATACTGTTCCCCAACTACCATTGTGGTTTATTTCAAGTCTTCCTTCCCAAGGACCTTTGCCTCCGGATAGCCTAACATCTGCAAATATTTGATAACGACGGTATATAATAAAATCATGTCTTGACAAAATGTTTTCTTTTTTTCAACTGTATTGCCAAAAGTGAAGTATGTGTTAGTTATATTCTAAATTCTAAAAGTTTAGAAGAAAACAATTGTTTTGTGTGGTTTTTTATGATGTCACTATGACATTACAAGTCCAAACTTTACAATTTGGTATGTGACTAGCTTTTTAACCAACTCTTGAGGAGCTTTTATTGAAATTAATATGATAAGGACATATCATTGCGTTTTCTCTGTTGTAATGTTTCACGATTGGTACATTGTAGTATTCGGTCTGTAATACTTTGTATATGATATGTGTGGTTTTTTTTTTATATTTTTCTTATAGTTGAAGGCCATGTTGAGAACTCTATTTGTTTTCATTCTTGTCCATTGTCCATTGGTGGATAGTTGTTTCATTGGAAATCATACCATATCTCCTAAGTCGTTTTTCGTTTTTTTGCCATGGCATTATTAGTTTTTTTTTTCGACTTATGAGCTTGAATATCTCTTTAGTATCTTTCACCTCTCTTTTATGGTTTCTACCATTGGCAAAGACTGATTAAGCTTAATTCATAAAAAAAAAATTTTGTTTTCAATGCTTTTCAATTGTGTTTTTGATTTGTTCTAACTGTTTTTACTCGAGCGCATGATGAGTTTTATGTTGACAAAATGCGTGTAAGGAGTAGGAAAACAAGTAAGTAAATAATAAATTAGATTTTTGTAGGGTTTCACATTATTATGCATATAAGTAATCAGATAATCATAGATTTGTGAGTATACGAGTTTTTTTTCAGATAATTTAGATGAAGCATGAAAAACCGAGGTCAGTCTTTGATAAGTCATGTCGGAATTATGTCCTGCGTTATTCTATTCAACTTCGTATTTGATAGGCCTTCCAACTCTTTGATTCAGGCGCATTCATAATTTCTATTTAGATGACACACTAGTCTCACTTACAGTTTTAAGCCTGGCATGTGTGGCGAGAAAAAGTCCAGTAGTCCGCCCTTTATACCAGTGTTGACATGAAATTTCATTCATACGCTTAGTTTCAAATTCATTATTCAAAATAATTCTATGGTTGATTAAACTAACGGATCATAAGGTCTATATATATAAGAAGATGTGGTATGAGTGCCAATGAGACAACTCTCTCATCCAAGTCACAGTTTGTAAAAGTAAACCATTATAGGTCAAAGTACGGTCTTCAACACGGAGTCTTGGCTCACACCGAACAGCAAGCTATAAAGGGCCCCAAAAATGACATGTGTAAAACCATTCAAACGGGAAAACCAAATGTCTAATCTATACAAAAAACGAGAAACGAGAAACACTTATGAACCACATCAACAAACGACAACTACTGACTTCCGATTCCTGACTTAGGACAGGTGCAAACAAATGCAGCGGGTTTAAACGTTTTACTAGTAATAGGTACCAACCTTCGCCCTTATCTGAAACTCTATAAAAGATCTGTACGAGTTAATCGTTTTTTTAAAGAACCAACGCCTATCAATAGTATCATATTATATAACAAGCCTGGTACCTTTGATGTTTAATTTCAATTGGATTTTTTTACACCAATAAATTAGGAGAGTGGATATACTTCCAGGCCAAATACATCAACACTGCTTTAGCATTTAATCCCCTGATGCTTCGCTCAGCCTGTGATCTAACACTGCTCTTGTGTTACTAGGCCTCTTAATTCAGAATTAAAAACTTCTTCAAAGAATGATTCAATGATTTGTACGTCTTATGTTTCACTTTTCCGATCTCATTTGCAGATCGTAAAATTATTAAGCTGCGATGCTGCAACCTTAAAATAAAGTATATTGTATATTGCATTTGTTTCAATCTATATCGTCCATTTTTTTTAGAAATGCGTCATCTTTTTCGACCATTTTTATAATTTTATAAGTAGTGCCACCCCTTGCTAATTTAAATTCTGGTCAAAAGTATAGATTATGGTACATAGAGAATATTTCAGCAAACATATTTGTGGGCGACGGGTGGCGTCACTGTTATTTTTTCAGAAAACTGTCAAGAAATCCTGCCAAATAATGCAAATAACTAGGTTTTAAAGAAATTTACCTAAAATTCTGACGTCACCAATATCACTGATGACGCCATAGATGAAAATCTTTTTTTTTAATGAAAAAATTACATTTTAATATATTTTTACAGCAAATAATCATTATATTATTTCAGTTAAAAAAATCAGATTTTAAGGGCGAAAATTATGAGTTAGTGAGACCAACTCCTTTTGTAGGAAAGGAACTTTTGGTTTGGATCGTGTCGCGCAATCTTTAGTGTATGGTCCATTCGTCTTTTATCTTTTTTTCAATGGTACTTTTTGTTTCTTTTCGAATTATAATTCTTATTGTATTTTGTATTTTGGGGTTTTGGGTTCCCCTTTTTATTGTCCCTCCCTTTTCACTATGAAGACACTCAATATGCAATAATCACATGTGTAGACGTTCATCAATATGATTTTGACCTAAAACATTTAATCATTTTTTACTAACTTTGAATTGTATTATGCGTATGCATTGATTAATTTATATACATAAATTCATAATTATATCAAAAAGCATAAAGAGCAGCACACCCACAATTGGTCCTATTTATATTTGCTTAGCATAAAAATTTGGAACACGAAGTGAGAGAAAATATAATCAGCATGAAAAACTCATATAATTAGCAAAACTTACTAGTTGCATGTCCTTGTGTGAAAAACCCAAGTACCATTAAGATCAGTACCATTGTTTATCTGCATGAGAAAAAATTAGAACATGCATATCAAAGTTTAAATAATGTACACGCAGTTGATTTTCGTATTAAATTGCTTCACTTTACTAAAGCTTTCATCATCGATATCAAAAGACATACATGAGCTTTTTTGCTCTCAATAAAAACCTATCACATACTTATGTCGAAATGAACATTTTGATTAATGAAACACTGCCACTATTAAACAAGAGAACACATTTACAAAACGATATCAAATAACAAATATCACATGAAACATAAAAAAAAGGGGGATGTATAATTACCCAGTCACGTCCGGTCTGTGTTTTCGCTAGATGTTTTGTGCCAGGTTAGGGGAAGGGTTTGGCGCCAGCTTACTAGTTGCCTGTCCCAAGTCAGGAGCTTTTTTTTTCATTGGTTGTCGTTTGTTGCTGTATATCTTATTTGTTTTTCGTTCATGGTTGAGGATGTATAAATACACAGTCACGTCCGGTCTGTGTTTTCGCTAGATGTTTTGTGCTTTGTATCAATCTGATAGGTTAAGCCCTTTTCAAATGATTTTTATAGTTGTTCTTATGTTGTACTGTTACACCACAGTCCCAGGTTAGAGGAAGGGTTTGGCGCCAGCTTACTAGTTGCCTGTCCCAAGTCAGGAGTCTTTCTTTCATTGGTTCTCGTTTGTTGCTGTATATCTTATTTGTTTTTCGTTCATTGTTTTGTTTTGAAATGTTTTACATTTGTCATTTCAAGGCCTTTTATAGCTGACTATGCGTTATTGGTTTCGCTCATTGTTTAATGGCCTACGGTGATGTATAGTTTTTATTTCACATGTCATTTGGTCTCTGGTGGAGAGTTAGCAATCATACCACATCTTGCTATTTTTATATTACATGTAATCAATAATTGTACTTGTGTAATAAAACCATGCATATGACAAGACTGAATAGTTATCTAAGTTGTTTAACTTTTAAAGTCTAGGCGTACCCATCTAATGCGGGATGGTCAAGAGATACTAGTAATCCAGAGATGCGATTAGGACACATGAGGTTTTTAAAGTGCTGTTTTCAATTTGTATACCCTTGTATTTGTATTTTACTTGTTTGTGCCAGGTAAATATTAATATTTTCGTTTCCGTATATCTAATCTGGTACACACTAGTAAAAAAATCGTTCGCACGACTTTGAAACTCGTGCGCAAGAATCTTGTTCGCACGATATTTAACAAAATGGTGTGCACAACTTTCAAAACCCGGTGCGCATCTCGTGGGCACAACTTTTCCGCTCGTGCACATGGCTTTCAAATTAGTGTGCATGACTTTCAAACTGGTGTGCATGATTTTCAAACTGGTGTACACGACTTTAAAACTCGTGCTCACGACATAACTGGTGCACAAGACTTTCAAATTAGTGCGCACGACATTCAAACTAGTGTGCACGAGTTTGAAAGTCATGCGCACCAGTTTGAAAGCCATGCACACAAGTACAAAAGTCATGCGCACGAGCTGAAAAGTCGTGAGCACGAGTTTAAAGGTCATGCGCACGGTATTTCAAGCACACAAAAATATTTTAATTTACATGCACTTAAGTGGCTCAGTATTATGCTTTTACCAGACTGTCTTGTCTGTATTACCAATTACACAAATTTGTTTGTAAGCGTCTTTGTTTGATTTAATTGTAAGTATTTAAACATTTAATTCAAATGTGGTGTATGCCTGTAATGTAGTTTTGGCTGCTGGATCCCAGGTAGGGTTTTATGTCTATTTGGGTTGCTCACCCAATTTGGCAATATTACGGAATATTAAACAACTGTTATACAAGTGATCATATTAGCTAGCATAAAACCCAGCTTTTAGCCACCACTTTATTCAAAAATGCGTGTACCAAGTCAGGAATATGACAGTTATCTACCTGTTTTTTTTCATGTTCAACAAAGATCTTCGTTTTATAGATATGAATGTGCATAAAAATTAATAGCAATCAGATAAGACAATCTATACTTTTTAAACGACATAAAACTTATGCAGGAAGAACAGACGGACTTATATTGTTATAAGAAAACTAGTCGGTGTGGTATTATCCAGTCTTTAGTTATACCAATTACATATGTTAATTATCACGTGTTAATCGGGAGATTTTATCGTTTTCGTGGATTTATGCAATAACGAATAAGCGGAACAGATCTTTCACGATTATCAAAATACGGTACCCAATCTCTAACGATCCGAAATATCTATTTTTTTTTAGCAACTATTACCATTTTTGCAAAATTTCTATCTAAAATCAATCAAAATAATGTTAAGAACTATTTCAAATAGTAATATTGAACGATATTTTTTAGAGAAAAGTAGTTTATGCATTAAAATTTGAAGAAAAAATATCATGTTTGCTTACTTTTTTATTTCTTTGAAATTTCGATGAGCAATCTGCCATTCTTTGTGTTGTAAAAACGGTATACTTTTATTATGCCTTAACTTTTCACGGATATGGATCATATTGTTGAACACATTTTGACAGACAACTTTTTTTCCAATATTTGTCATTATAATTAATTAAATTATATTACTTATATAATAGATATACTGAACGACAGTCGTGAACTATCATGTCTTGTCCTTTTATTATGAATCAATTACTTCAGAACAATATATACAATATAGCTTCCGTAACTGAACACGCGGATTATTTTATGATTTTTTTTTCTGGCATTAATTTTAAAACCAACATTAATGATTCCATAATAAAATACTTACAAATATGTTACTCTATCAAAGTTGATACTACGTACAATCACACTTTGTAACCTCCAACCTTTATTCTGCTTTATCTGTTTGCACTTAAGATATGAATCGTAAGGACGTGTTTTACCATTTTAGTTTTCAAAATAATAAACCAAAATGAAAAATGGGCTTACACTGATTTTTAAAAATTTTGGAATCGATTGACAGCATCAATAACATTGACTTATTCGTAAACCTTACTCTAATTTTGTTAGTCTATTTTATTGTTAACTGTTTCGCTCAAAATAAGATTATGATGCGGGTTCCGTTGTTAGAGCTAACGACCGACGGGTGCTAATTGACGAGAAACACTCACTTTGGGCCTACAGACCATGTAGTCTAAAAACATGCAAATCTACTATTTTTTTCTTAATAAATATAATTTAATATGCTGAATAGATTAGTGGTAATTAGCATCTTGTTGCAATATAGTATGTCACAAACACTTTTGAACACACTATCACATTGATGCTTGTATCTGTTGTATCTGATAAACAATTATAAACTGTTACACCTTATTACTGTATCATAAAACGTATAAATTCAATTTAAAGAAAACAGAATGAAGTGTAGTTTTGGTGCAATCATACCTCATTCTTTATTTTTATATCAACCTGTTTGTTAGCACTCAATAAGGTAGAGGTTGAGGTAGAAAAGTGTAATACTCACGAAAGGATTTATCATGTTTTATATCATGATAAATGAATAAGCTGTGATCAATGATATCTGACAGATTCAAGTTTTATGATAGATTTTTGATAAGCAAATTTGAATTTTAGTTTCAATAGTGGCATTATCAAAACTTTTTCTTTGTGAATATCCGAAAATATCATAAACATGTAATTATCTAAACAGAACAGATGTATTGTGACTGTTACACGTCAATTCAAGCCAAATGAACGTCACACAGATTAAGCAGAATAAAAGAGCCGTTTACTTGACAATAAAGATAAAGCACCGTTTAATAGTTCTTCATATGGAATTATTCATGCTAGGTGTTATAGTTTTAATATCAGCGTCACTCAGATATTTTACTATTAATTTTAATAAGCATTTTCTTTTTCTTTTATCGCACCAATTAGATGTAATATTCTAAAGAAAGATTGTATTATCATCATTAGAGTTGAAATTTCAGCATGAGAACTGCTTGAAGTTTGTCATTCTTTTGAACATAAAAAAATATGCAAATTTTGAACTCAAAACCAAGGAGTTCGTTACCAAAGTTACAGGGTAATAAACTTGTTGTCCCAATATTTCTAATGTATTTATCAATAGATATCATCACACAAACTCTCAAGAAAAGTACATGACCATCCGTCTCACATGAGAATATGATTGGTGGTTACAGAGAATTGCTATTGAATGCTTGATAAGAGATTGTAAATTTAAATGAGTGTTTTGTTTTTGAATTTTGGTATATTTGGTGAAAACAACGAAAATAATACATCTTTCATTTGTAGGTATAATTCAAATAATACACGCAAAAAAATATGGTACAACACAATGTATATGTGATTTAAAAATAATTTTTAATTCGTATGGTTATAAAGTAAACTATTGACGTTCCTGCATTAATCACACGTAGATTACTTTTTCTATTGCTCTTTCTGACCTCATGAATTATCATTTACTTTGTTTGACTATTTTTTACAAGTGTTGAACACAAAAGTACGGTTTGATAATGTTGTGGTAATTCAGGAGTTTGTGTCTCTCGGTACATGCTGCAATTCCAAGAAGATATTGTAAGCTTTGACATGCAAAACTAATTAGTACTTTTAAATAAAGTTCTTTTCCTTCAAGATCTGGTATTCTTGAAATATGTAATCATAAACAAATTATTAAAATGCCTTAGTTAGTCGCAGAAAGTGATATCTTGTTAATAGTAGCAGATAAATATAGTTAGTCGCAGTGAATCCCCCGACTTTGTTATTGATTTTTCCCATAAGAAATGCATTAAAAAAAAATCGGCGGCCTTAAAATTCCCGTCCGCAGATTATTATTAATCGCCGGCATGAAAATTGCAGCTCCCGCAGATTTTTTTTTTTTTAAATATTCGATTTCTTCAAAAATAATAATCTGCGGCAAACCCCGCTAAAAATCATTCGAATCTGTCTCGTATCGGCTCGAACTCTTGGACCCACAAAAGGGGGGATTCTAAGAACATGTCCATAATTTCGCTGCCTCCAATATCATTCATGATTTTGATTGGGATATGTTTTCATGG